TGCAGCTATCTGATCGAGCTTATGTTTCTCGAACTCGGTGTATAGATTTATTCCTCGTTTTGGTCGTTCTAGCACCACATGATTTGCAAATGTTATTGTTAGTATCATTATCATTATCATTATCATTATTATTATTATTGAAATGTTGTTGCTTACGCGCAAGTCTGTTGACTGTTTTGCGTGTTGTAAATGCGTGTTGCATATGCCATTGTTCAGCTTAGTTACTCAAAATGACAGGACTTGTCAACGGGTAATTGAAACAATTAACGTGTAGTAAACTTCAACGTCCAATAACTTTGCACTGAAATAATATTTTTTTTGTGGAATTTTCTTTAAAAGAAAGCTCTTGAAAAGCTTTATCTGAACATCTCGAAAATACAAATTTCGAAAATTCACACTTTGAACCCTGGTTGATACCTTAATTCTTTTATCGATTACTGATATATTGCTATTGAAGAACATTAGAGAATATTTCCCAGTGGAAATCTTCCTAGTCAATACAAAGGAAAGGCATGTTTCATCACCTTTACAATAAACATAATAAATCGCCTGATTGAATGCCCGAGAAACATTTTGACTGGTAACCATGTTTTAGGCATGTGAGAAGCATTTACTTCGGCGGTGGTTTTCAGTTGAATATATTGTTCCAAAAAAATAAAATTGTCATAAAAAGATTGCTATCGCTACTTTCTAAGTAAAATGCATCTATAACTCGCAAATCAATTACTAGAAGGTCATGGGCCTTGGTTTATACATTATTTAGTTGTCATCTCATTGAATATCTTTAAAAAAAAAAAAAAAAAAATGCTTACTTTGGTGTATAAATACATGTACATGTAGGTAACAAAATCAAAAGATATCATTCAATAAAACAGAAGCAGAGACCAATGACATTTGGTACGGATTTAGTTTGGTGACCTTTTACTACAAAAAAAAATGCCTGGGTTTTGAATACACCTTTTGTGAGTCATTGATTGACTGGCTTTTGTCAAGAGGTTATTTTGGCAGTCAGGGCACATTAGTTTTTTTGCCATTGTGGTGAGGTGGCCGCTGTAGAGAGGTTAAAATAAGAGTGAATGTATGGACTGTCTGCTGGGACCAAAAAGTAGCCATTGTAGAAACCTGGAGGTGGCTGTCGTGAATAGGTAGCTGTTAGTGGAGGTTTGACTGTATGAATCTTTTTTTTTTTTTTTTTTTTCTTTACAGATATTTCTTCTGCTCCACTTGAAGGACATTCTGGTTCTATTCAAGCTGCATTGAACTTGGAGTTTCCACACGAAAAAGTCAACTCCTTTGAGATTGCTATTGAAGGAATAAATGGACAACTGCCTAATCTTGATCTTGTTAATACCGTGTTCAGGCTGTGCCATAAGGAGCGTATTCCAGCAACACTGCATACAGAGGTAACAAACTCTGTAATCAAAATGCTGTAAATGTTATTCTGACTAAATTTTAGTCAGTTTTGATCTTATGATTCCTACTTACAAATAAGGCTGACTTCTTACTAAGGGTTACACTGTCTTAATAATAGGTCATTAGAGAGTGTTTTTTCTAGCCTCACTGTTTCTGATGTCAGCACTTTTTGACAGCACCTAAAGTAATTATTTCATTTTTTGTATTTAGAAAAGTATTTTTTTCTAAATGCAAATCAAATTTTATAATCATTATACATGGCTACATGTAGCTCTGTGAGCAGGCAAGATGAACTGAATCCTGTGCTGTGATTAGCTACCAGAGCAGGTAAGATAGTGCTATCTTGCCTGCTCAGGTTTGCGCACAAAATAATGTTATTTTTTCATGTGTAAATCCTTTATTGACCAAGCTTTTTCGGTCAAGATGGCTGGATATTGGGGTCATTCTTTTTGTTTTGCATGTTTATGAACCTGGACTCCATCTCGGTCCATAAACACACAAAAAAGAACTTGGCCAATGTCCACCCATCTTGACCTCACGCTTGGTCAATAACGCACATTTACCTATTGAAAAAGGATTGTCATGCACTTAAAATATCTCAGTTAAAAACAATGAAATTCATGTAAGTTGGATAAAAATCTACTGGAATTTATCGTGTTGCAAAATGCATTTAATGGTGACCTAGTTTTAAAAATCACAACAAATAATGAAGTACAGTAATGAATTAATAATATATATGAAAAAATTACTCGATTCTGATTGGCTGAGAGCAGTGCAGTTCAAGTCTAACACCAGTGCAAAAAGTGTAACAACAGTGCAAAACATATAACACCAGTGCAAATTACACATTGTAATTCTGGATTATGATTGGCCGAAATACAATAGGAAATATTCTAAGCCATTGATATGAGGTAAAATGATGATGAGAATTTTGTGTGGAAACTTTGAAAAAAGTTTTCTCAAATGAGAAAAAATGGCTGCAAGAAAGATCTTCCGGCACTTCCTTCACGCAAATTTTTTCATGATTATATTATTAATAAGTAATCATACCGTTTTTCTCTTTCTATTTGGAATTAATTTGCACTGGTGAGTTTTTCAAAAAGCTGAAATTGCACTTGCCAAAGTGGCTCATGCAATTTCAGCTTTTTGAAAAACTCACTTGTGCAAATTAATTCCAAATTGAACGAGAAAAACTGTATTGATTACCTATACTAATTTGTTTCGTATGTTGTTTTGTAATACATTATGTTCATTTTTTATTATTATTATGTCATCAGGGATACCATGAACGCTTAGGAGCCTGGGCAGACTCTGTGCAATCCCTTGTTACCATGGTGATGATGATGTGTTATCAAGCCTCTGGTAGGGCTTCTGGAAATCATGGCTTATTTCACAGATATCGCATTGAAGCTCTCACAATGAGAGGAGCTGGAGAGACGTGGGAGTATGGACGTGGTTTTCTGGAAACTGGAAAGTAGGCATTGATACTTGAAGATTAATGTTGATTCAACTACACAATTTCTGTTACATGTAATTTTGTTGTTGTTATTGTTGTTGTTTTTTCCAGCAGATATTTATTCCTGGGAGTGCATAATTTACACGCACAGACTGCATCTACTTGAAGTTAACTGTGTAATTTTCTCCAGGCTTACATATTCTGTAAAATTTCAGGTAAAATTTGAAAATAATAATTAAAAACAAATGTTCATTTTTTTTTCGGCAGGGTCATTGAAGGTATTTTCCGCAGCTTAAACAACCTCCTAGAACAGTTCCACCAGTCATTTTTCTTCTACCTCCTCCCAGAGTCTCATCGATATGTGTCTATCGGTATGTACATGCCGCCCTTTGGCTGCCTTCTGCTAGGCCCTGCCATCATGGCCATAGTTCTCTGGACATTAGCAGGGTCTGCGCCAGAAAATGGGTCAAAGGTTGACACCTCACAAGAGGAAGGGGCCCCAGAGGAAGAATCAGGGGGAAAGAAAGTTGCGAATAGCGAAGGTTATGTTCGTCCTAGGGAAAAAGAAGTTCCTGATCTGGAAGACAAGGTGTGTTTTACTTTATTGTACGCCTAACCTTGTAGTTGTTACAACTGTAGGTAACTTAAATTCTAATCACACCGAAAAGAATATAAATTATTTATTAACTTATCTTTGAAAAACAAAACACATCACCAGGAACAGGCATCTCGTTAGCAAGATTTCCCTTAACTCCATACATTAATTATGCATACAGTTCTTTCTTTAACTAATCAATAGCCAA